TGTTCTTTAGGTTTGGGCAGTAGGTGTTAAACACTCTTGCTTCCTGGGCCTATGTCCATTTTCTCTTATTCTACGTTAGCCAAAATGACTTGACTCCTCTGTTTACTGGGGCATGGGGACAGGGTCACTATATAGCCCAGGTTGGTTTTGAATTCTCCATCATCCTGCTACAGCGTCCCAAGTGCTGGGATTATAGGCGTGCAGGACCATGCCCAACTCCAAACGGCGTTCTGAATGCAGACTTTCCGTTTTGCCTTTCTTCTATCCCATCTTGCCCAGAAGTGTGTAATATTTAGCCTTGAAAAGAGAAAATGCATGCAAGGAGTGTTTTCTAGAAATTAGAAGTGACACATAGCAGGAGTCACAGAGGGGTTTACAAGCAATTTCAGGAGCAGATCGTGGAGTGAGACAAACCCTGGCATCTGGTTTTCAAGTCTGATGTCTCTGCCTCTCTGTGAGACTCACTGTGTGAAGGTGTCTCTGGGCATTGTTGATGTTGTTTGGCCAGGAATCATCAGACTTGACCGGTTTTCCTCCCCGCATGTGACTGTCTTCTCCTCTCACTGTGAAACACAACTTCTCATTGCTATTTATTTCAGGATTGTCCCCCACCCTTTGCCCACCTCCCACTCCGGCAAAGGCAACTTCCCACTTCCTCTCCTCCTCCAGGATCAGCTCAGGACAGACATCTGTCACTCGGCACCAATGGAGAAAGTCAAGTTACAATCCTCCCCTTAGATCCCCTCCCCTGAGGATGGAAGATGGCCTTTGGTACCTGAAGGAAGGTCTGTCCTGATCTGGATCCCCAGTGAGGATATTGGGAATTTTCTTGACAAATGGAGCCTAGTGGCAAAGAAGAGTCACAGCTGAGGCTAGTGCTCGCAACCCCATATTGTTACCAACTCCCTGAGAAGAGCTGACAAGGACTGGCCAGGCCTGTCATCCCCCATGAGCAATGAACACGCTGTACAGATCATGGTCTGGAGATGCACTTGTCAAACAGAATTTAGCTGTGGGATCTTTGCTTTCAACATATTGATCCCCCGCCCCATGGAGTCGAGGATCAAATCCAGGGCTGCTCACATGCTAGGCAAGTACTCTAACCATGGATCCACACACAGTCTGCTCTCAACATTTTGTATTTGTCTTAGAAGTGTGCTATACATCCATACGTGTGTGTGTGTGTATATTATGTGAATGCATATGCACATGAGTTGGTCTGTGCACACATATGTGTGTAGCACATATTCCACACAAGACCAGGGAGAAGGGTAGCTGCTGTGGATGGGGGGGTGGGGACTATCCTCCCTGTGGAGGCCCCAGAACTCTGTGAAATTGAAGTTTGGACTCACGTTTTCACAAGGGTGATGGTTATGATGCTGTGTGCATATTGACGGTTCTCAGGCAGGGTCATCTGAGATGCTCCTGTTGTGTTCAGTTCTGATTCTGGCCTTAGTCATGTGAGGCTGTTTCTTTCAGTTTCTAGAACATCTTTGAAAAGACCAGGCAGGCTTTTCTCCCACACTTAACTAAACTAAGGGGGCTTTCCTGTTTGGAATAGCCCCTCTTTGCTTCTCTGTCTTTTCTTTCTGTCTGTGAGCCCATGTGTTTTGCTGACTCCTTGGGACTCCTTGGGGCTCTTCCTAAGTAGCTACCCTCAGCCAGAGAGAGTGTTCTCATACTGCCCCTTGCCCCAGCCTTTGATTATCTGTAGGAGGAAGTGTCAGGGCTCCGGAGAGATAAGCCTTGAGCCAAGCAGAGCAGGTTCTACAGTCCAGTCCCCTGGCTCTGCACAGGGTTGAGGTTAGGAACACGGGGATGGCTAAGGGGGTGTTGTGAGGATTCTCTGTGTTCCAGAGCTATCTCTGAGATGTGACCTGACATCAGGTCAGATGGTGGTGGTGTCAACTTGAGCTGTGGCGATAGGTTGTTGGGGTGGGGGAATGGGGGGCCAGGGAAGCCAGAAAAGCTCTTCAGAGAAACTTTCCCACAGGGAATGAAGCCACAAAGTCATGAAATCTCCCAAAAACATTGCCCCAAATTTTCTTTAAGTGTATATGAATGCAAAGCCATAAAAGAAAAGATTATAAAGCTGGCAACATAAAAACGTGAAATTACACAGCTACAAAAGAAAACCAGCAAACATCGTTGAAATAAACAATAACACAGATCAGAGTTCTGTACATAAGCCCAAGTTGACATAAAGAAAAATCGAGACAAAGACACAAAAAGGGATTCAAAGAAAAAGAAACAGAAAGAGCCAAGAACAAGAACACGCTGAACCTTTCTCACAGGGAGAGGCAAATTCAGGCAAGCTGTCTTTGCTCTTCCCTCTCAGATTCGCAAAGATTAAGAAATCTGATAAGCCAGTCAGCAGGCTGTGGGGAAATACACATTCTCATATCCGTTAGGAGGAAGAAAAATATGACAGTCTTGCTGGATGGCAGATGGTGGTCTATATCAAAATACAAGACTCGGTGGCTCACACCTGCAATCCCAGCACTCGGGAGGCTGAGGCAGGAGGATTATCACGAGTTTGAAGTGGGCCTAGACTACATAAAAGTGCATGCCCACGAATGCGCATGTGTAAAATGCCTATGTCTTTTGTCTAGCTGACTCTGTCTACTTTTGTTTCCCCATAATAGCTAACAAGCACTGACATCACAGTGTCCAGTGTGAGCCAGGCACTGTTCCAAAGGCTTCCAGGACACAAAGGCAGTCAGTCTTACCGGCAGCAAGTAGATGTAGCATTGCGCTCCTCTTTATTTTGTGATGAAATCAAAACAAAGAGGTCATCCATGTACGCACCAGTGTAGGAGCAGAGCTGTTTGTTCACGGCAGGATAAGCACCCCCGCCAGACCCTGGTCAAGGGCATGATGGGATATCTGTGTGGTAGAATGCTGTGACTGTCAGCAAACCATCTCAGCTGATGTCTTGGTTACTTCCCTGCTGCTATGAAGAGACACCATGTCCAAGGCAGCCTAGAAAACAAAGAATTTGCTAGGGTTCTAACGGGTTAGGAGTCCATAACCATCCTGGCAGGGAGCATGGCAGCAGGCAGGTAGCTGATCCTTTTGAAATCTCAGTGCCCACCCCCAGTGACACACCTCTTCCAACAAGGCCACACCTCCTAATCCTTCCCAAACAGTTCTACCAACTGGGGACTAAGTATTCAAACAAGACTTCGAGGATATTTTATGAAGAAAACAAACTTTAGAGCAACGTAAACAGTATGATTTTACATGCATTGAAAGAGATACGTATATATAATCTTGTGTGCATATTTTAAAAATATTTTACAAATAAAAATAAATCTAAGAAACTCATGGGACAGAGGAGACATATATTTTTCATTTTATATCTTTTTGTGTGTGGTTTTGTTTTTTCAATATACAGTCTTTTTTTCAATTTGTTTGTTTGTTTTTATTTTTGGAGACACAGTCTCATGTAACTCAGACTGGCCTCCAACTCCCTATGTAGCTGAGGATGACTTTGAACTTCTGATCCTCTTACTTCCACCTCCTGAGTATTGGCATTAGAGGTGTGTGTCAAAATGCCTGGCTTATGATGGGAATTGGGCTCAGGGCTTCATGAATGCTAGCAAGCACTATGAACCAAGCTATGCACCAGCCCTCAATGTAAAAATTTTAAACTGAGTTAACTAATAACACATGTGAAATTGTGGTACTGAGTCTGGCCCATGGAAGGGGTTAAGTGACTTTTTGTAAGATATTTTTATTTTATGGGTGTTGTGCCTGCATACATGTATGTGTACCATGTGCATGCAGTGTCTGATGGAGGCCAGGAAAGCATGCTGGATTCCTTAGAACTGGAGTTACAGATGGTTTCTGGCCTCCATGTAGGTACTGGGAAATGGACGTAGATCCTGGGAAAGAGCAGCAAGTGCTCTTAACTCCTGAGACGTCTCTTTATCCTCCATAACTCTCGTTTATAGAGCAGAAGCATTGTGTTGTTGACAGAGCTTAGCCCCCTCCCTGCCTTGGGGCAATAGTGTACCTAGTTTTCACTGTTCATGCAAATCCCAAATAGAGGAAGATGGGGGAGGAGGCCACTCTAGCAGGTTTAAGGAAAAGCCAGTGGTTGCAATAGGCCCCAAAACTTCTCACAGCCTTCCAGGTTTAGCTGTGTGGTCAATGGACTCCTGAGGCCACCAACAGACTCCCATGTCCACCATGCTACCAGATACCAGCAAGCCAGAGACTGATCAGCAATGGCCCCTTCCCATAGGGTCCTCAGTTTAACAAGCCCTTCCCTTTCAAAGATTCTAAGAAGGTAAAAAGTGCCTGGGATCCTTGAGCTAAAGAACATAGAGCTTCTAGAAAGGGAAGGAGATCTTAGGTACTTGGCACTTCCTCTACAGAAATAACCAGAGCTCTCCAGCCTTTTGCAAATCTGAGTCTCTGAAGGGGTAGTGCTCATTTTAGGAAGAAGGAAGCTATAAAGCAAGGAGTCTGATGGGGAGGAGCCGAGTAGGGGAATGAAGTCTCAGCAGAAGGTAGGTACTGGGAAGCCTCACCTTGGCCAATGTGTTCCCTAGGCAGTTGTACTTGAGACCTGGTTACCACATTATCTTGCTGAATCCCTGGGAGTTTTAGCTCTTCAAACATTTCTTGCTCCATTCTTTTGGACAACTCGGCTGCAAAGAGGTTGAGGAAGCTCCTCTAAACGAAGGGCTTGTTAGATCAGACCCCCATGGCTATCTAGCAGGGACATAAATGGCACGTCCATGGCCACTCTTTGTGTGCTGAGGGGTGGGGACAGTGCTGACCCCCAATGGCACGTCCATGGTCACTCTCTGTGTGCTTGAGGGGTAGGGACAGTGCTGACCCCCAATGGCACGTCCATGGCCACTCTCTGTGTGCTGAGGGGTGGGGACAGTGCTGACCCCTCAAGCTGTGCCAGAGAGCCTTGTTCTCCTTGGTTCAAGCAAACTTTGTTTTCCTGCATGATTTCTAACGTCGTCTTTGATCTATTTCAGGTTCCGGAACTGCGTTTACACTTACAGGATTCTGCCCAACGAGGATGACAAATTCACTGTTCAGGTAAGTCCTGAACCAACCTGTGCTTGCCCTGAGAGGAAGAGAAAAAGAGAAGGAGAAGCAGGTGGCCCGAGGAGCCTCCATGTGAGGACCTGGCAGAGCTTAGCTTTGTCCCCAGAGCACATGTTTTGGGTTGAGTAAATAACAGTGACTCTTCATCGATGGCAGTCATAAGATGTTAGTCACACATGCCAGGGACTATTGGTGGCTGTGGCTGAGAAAAGGACATGATGGTGGCTGTGTCTCCAGCCATCATTTTCTTTGACTACCACAAATGAGCAAACGTAAGTGGCCCAGGAAGCAGCAGAGGGGGGTGAACTTGCAAGGGAGCTGGACGATAGATGAGATGGTGCCTTTAAATTCCCGTGGCCCCCTTCTGCCCAGTGCTGATAGCCCTGGCATCTGAATTCACCGTATAAAGACAAAATATACAAAGTCATAAAGAAACTCTGTTATTTATTTATGGGGTATGCCATGGTGTGCTTGTAGAGGTCAGTTTTCAGGAGTTAGTTCTCTCTTTCTGATGTGTGCATTCTGGGGACTTGAACTCAAATCCTGAAGCTTGGCAGCATTACCCAATGAGCCATCTCACCTGCCTCAGCTGAGCTTTAAAAGGGAAAATAAAACCAGCAGTGCCAATCAAAGCCCGAGAAGACCACCTTGGCACAGTTGGTGTGGCAGACACAGGGGCTTTGTTTGACCAGTGTGTGGCAGCTGAGTGATGTGGAAGGCAGGGAAGCTATTTTTTGCCCGGCGTCATCAAGAGAACATGGGGGTGTGTAGAAAGAAGGAGGTGACAGTCTCGGTGTCCTCGGTAGGGGAGGGGCTGTGTGTCACTAAGTTCACGGGGACCACAGCAGAAGCCACAGGAGCATGTGGCTCACATCTGAGCAGTGCAGCAAGAGCAGACAAGCGGCACCGTGTCACCAGGATGGCAAGGAGCAAAGGTCTCCAGGGTTTAGTTGAAAAGAAAATAGAAACGGGAAGGGACGTTGGTGACTTCCAAAACTTAAAGGGCATGATTAATTACTTAGGCTGAAGGGGTAGACTCAGCTGCCTTGACCAAAGGCAGTGCCCGGGAAAGCTCCTGGAAACATGGAAGAGAGACACTAGGAGCAAAGGAAAGCCTCGCGGGGTGACTAATGATGGCGTTCAAAGGGAGTCACTTCGGTCACCACCAGCTGCTTGGCTCAGAGAATGAGGCGGGAGGGCACTGGCTCCATCCAGATGTGGAGCAGCTGCCTTCCAGGGGACAGATCTGCTCACACCAAGCTTCACGGGAGAGGCCAGTGTGGGCCACTGTGGGCTCGGGGAACTGCTCCGCTGCATGGCATGGCGGTCAGGCTGTTCATGCTTCTCCCTCCCTCCCGCGTGTGCATGAGCACCAGGACGGAAGGAGGGTCAGCCTAGTCTAGGGGTCAAAGAGTACCTGTGCCAGCCCAGGCTTCAGCAGTGATCACCAGGGCAGATTTGGGTACACTTAAGCAAACACTCTTCTCAAGGTTTTGGCAGATGTTCATCATCGGAATACTTTCTCAGATGTGGACTCCACAGCTTCTGAGGCTATGGATGGCTGGGGGGTGGCTTAGGCACGCGGTAGGCCTCTGTGGTCGCTACTTTTATTCAAGTCCAGGACGGTGTGAACTTAGCCTGGTGGCATGGGGTCCCGCAGGTGGCCTCCTGCTAGGAGTCAACTCTCTCAAGTTCAAAGTTAGTCGGTGTCTTCGATCTTTCTCCCCCTTTGTGGTTTCTTCTATTCCTTCAAAGTGATGAAAACTTTGAGTATGACTGGAAAAGGCGTGACTTTGTGGCTTCTTGTGGAGAGTGTGTGCCCACAGCATGTGAACTCGTAACTCCGTCTGGATGGAGTCTGTGCCCACGTTGTCTTCACACTCTTGCTGTGGTGGCTTCCTGTGACCCCATAAATGACCACAGACCTTCAGTGGCTCTTAACTGAGAGATTCAGTGGGTTTAGGGGGTCACTCTGGCTGATTTGTGCAGGGGCCACTGTCCTCGGTGGCCAGAAGGCCACTAGGGAAGCCCAGGGCTTGGGCCCAGAGGCGCTGGGGCCCTGGCTGGGTTCTACCTCAATGAGTCAGCTCTTGTCTGTGGTTTGCTCCTCCCCTGCTGACAGCAGTTCCCTTCTCATGTCCCAGTCCCCAGAGGGAATCTGATTGGCTCAGCCACCAACAGCTTTCTCTGCCTGGACCACTCACAGACTACTGAGCTCTGTGTTGCTTGACCGTTAGGAAGCAGGTGCCTGCCCATCATTGACAGATGGGGACAGAGCATAAGCCTCCTATGACCACCTCAACAAGGGCGGGTGGGCAAGCAGTTTCCCAAGGAAGAGATATGGCCTTGCTGGACATAATGTTTCCAATCTTGCACTTGACCTAAGACCTTCTTGGTCACCAATACCAGCTAACTAAGGGACAGGAAGCCATGGGACCTGGATGGTCTAGGGAATTCCCCACCTATAAGGAGCCATTTCCTATTAAAACAAACAAAAACAAAAAATAGATGCTAGTGGCTGGGGATGTTGCCTAGTTGGTAGAGAACCTGCCTAGCATATGCAGCCCACAGTTGGATTCCCTAGTCCTCAATAATGCCTGATGTAGTAGCACATACCTATAATCTTAGCACTTTGGGGGGTAGAGGTAAGGCGATCAAAAGTTCAAAGTCATCCTCAGCTACATAGTGAGTTTAAGATCAGCCCAGACTCCATGAGACCCTGCCTCAGACACACACATACACACACACACACACACACACACACACACACACACACACAGAGAGAGAGAGAGAGAGAGAGAGAGAGAGAGAGAGAGAGAGAGAGAGAGCACATTCTATAATAACCAATGGCACATGACTGCTGAGAAGCAAATCAAAGCTCACACCCTGTGAGCCAAGTCAGAGCTGTCCTTCAGGAAGCCCTGGTACTGGTCACAGCTTATTTTAACTCCAGTTCCTCTTTTCATGTTGAAACAAAACCCTGCATTCTTTCCTGAGCTTAGCCACAGTTTCTGTATAACTCATTTCTTCTACCTGAGCCTGTTGGTGTCAGCAGAAGCAGGAGCTAGGCTGAGGGGTTGCACAGTGAAACATCACGGCTGTTCCAGCGATGGGAGGTAGGGCAGCGGTCTCTCTGAGAGGGCCCTTCCTCACCTGCTTGGATGGCATTTGATCGTGAATAGCACTTGGCCATGCGTCCCATGCATTCAGGACTTTGCGGCCACCTGGCTTTGTTCAGAGACTGCTAGGAAACCAAACAGGAAAGTACAGTGTCACATTTTCCCTGCTGTGGTCCCAGTTCTGTGAATGGATGGGGGAGCAGTCTACATGGAGGCCACTCCTCCCTTCACTGCCCCCATTCTTAGTAGGGAGACAGCCATGTCCATGTCCTCAGTCTGCAAGGTGAAAAAAGGATGGAAAAATGGAAGCAAATGAGGTGGAGAGGGAGTAGTATAAAGAGAAAACAAGGAGGACACAGAAGGGGAACAATAAAGAGAAAACAAGGGAGGACACAAGGGGGAACAATAAAGAGAAAACAAGGAGGACACAGGAGGGGAACAATAAAGAGAACAAACAAGGGAGGACACAGGAGGGGAACAATAAAGAGAAAACAAGGAGGACACAAGGGGGAACAATAAAGAGAAAACAAGGGAGGACATGAGGAGGGGGAACAATAAAGAGAACAAACAAGGGAGGACACAGGAGGGGAACAATAAAGAGAAAACAAGGAGGACACAGGAGAGGAACAATAAAGAGAACAAACAAGGGAGGACACAAGGGGGAACAATAAAGAGAAAACAAGGAGGACACAGGAGAGGAACAATAAAGAGAACAAACAAGGGAGGACACAAGGGGGAACAATAAAGAGAAAACAAGGGAGGACACAAGGGAGAACAATAAAGAGAACAAACAAGGGAGGACATGAGGAGGGGGAACAATAAAGAGAAAACAAGGAGGACTCAAGGGGGAACAATAAAGAGAAAACAAGGAGGACACAAGGAAGGGAACAATAAAGAGAAAACAAGGGAGGACGCAGGAGGGGAACAATAAAGAGAAAACAAGGGAGGACGCAGGAGGGGAACAATAAAGAGAAAACAAGGGAGGACACAAGGGGGAACAATAAAGAGAAAACAAGGAGGACACAAGGGGGAACAATAAAGAGAAAACAAGGAGGACACAAGGGGGAACAGTAAGAGAGAAAGGGAAAGATGAGGGAAGGAAAAGTCTAGAAAAAGGAAGGCTTTGGAAGAGACGGCAACAGTTTCTACAAAGGAAAGGAGGTAGGTGTGGAGCAAGAAGAGCAGAGCTAATGGTGATGGAGGGTGGCTGTGGAAACGTTGTTAGGCTGTGGGAGGGTGTCTGTGGCGGCCATCTACCCCAGGCTCTGCTCTGTGCTGTCAGCAAGGATCTGAAGTGAGCGCAGGAGACTGCGAAGCAGCTTTAAGACAGGGCCTCAGACCCAGAGTATCTTCTGGACCAAGGTTCATGTTGACAGCCTCTGGGTACTGTGTGAGGCCAGAGACAGGCAGGATGCTCAGCCCATCAGGCCCTAGGTTCCCACACCCAGAGACGGGGTTCTTGTGAATCCTGGGTTCTTCCTGAAACTGCAAAGGAAGTGACTCTCCCCTCAGGGAAGTGCACCCACCTTGGGCGGCTGACCTCAGAGTGAGCTGTTGCCCAGTGATGCCTTGGAGTTGCTCCACTCCCTGGGAAGCAAGGGAGGGTCTGAGGCGGAACAAGGAGTCCTAACAGACAACCGCATGGTAGCTGAGGGAGGCTGCAGGGCTCTGAGCAGCCTTTAGACACAGTCCCCCTAACCAGGTCCACCCCTGAAGTGAACAGGCGCCTCTAGGCTTCTCTTGCTGCCTCACAACTTCTATGAAGAGGAAGAAAAAGAGCCGCGCTCATGACTCCATTACACAGATATCTTTGAGAACTTCCTGTCTTTGCTGAGCTGGCAGAGTACGGGGATAAGGACTGTGAAGACTGGG